CTGTTTAACTTTGGCAGCATGTTTTTAAAACAGGAATTTTCCAGGCTGACATTTTTTTGGGTGTGGTTAGTTTATTCAAGTCACCATATAATTTAAATATTTCTACCGGAAGACAAAACGCACCAAGATGGCTATGGAATGTGTTAATAATAAACAATATATATTCTTGAAATCATCCATTTATGAATGACTTATTATTTTGTCTTTTGCTTCCACTTTGGTGGGAAAAACAGGACCTCACACAGATGAAACAATTAAGTACAAATGGGATGGTACAAACGAGACAATAGACAGAAAATTACAGTCCAAGGAAGGAAGATGAAAATACAAACTAGACACGACAGACGTTACAAATGACACATAGTCCATACAGTGCAAAACGAGGTGGTACACGTGAGAAAAAAATGCAAACTTTAATCAAACTGTGACCCTGAATCATGTTGTGTCGTTATGGTGAATCCTTATCTGCCTCATCATATTTCAGTGTTCAAGACACTGAGCGGGTTATCACAAGTTAGTTAATCTTAACAATTCGCAATACCCCTTTGGACCATGGGTAAGTGATGCAGAGAGATTTTGATTGCCCATCCCTCTGCTACCTCACTTCCCCCGACTACTACCCACCGGCCTGTCTTTTCTGCACCTTGGCACGAGCTGCAAACAGTTTTAGCCACTAGCTAAAAAAAAATGCTTCCCCACTTAGAGCCCCTCTTTACAAAGCAACAAACTGTACCATACCTTGTCTGCTTGTGTGATGCTCACTGTTGGTGTCTTTTGTTTCTATCCCCAAGTTTTTTGGAATTTTTTCGATAAAACAATTGGCACGTGCTAAAATATTGAATTAAATGCAGGGTACCTATGTCACCCCAAGCATTTACTTCAACTTCAGCGTGTAAATGTGAGATTGAAAGCACCAGTGTTGACTTTCATACATGTTGTTTTACATGCGGAGTTGAGCACGAAATGGGAAGTTGTACCGACTCTTTAATTCTCTCCCATCCTGACAGACCGGAGAAGCGGCGTCGGTTATTGAATTAAAGTGGGTGCGAGGCTGCACTCAGGACTGCACTTGGGACTGACCTGATATAACTAAATGGCGTGTCTGTACTCAATACGAGTGCAACATCCGGGTTATGTTTTGTGCATGCTTTGGCATAACTGCAGACCACATACGGATTGAACTGGTGGTTTAATGTGTTATTTTTCTTTGTAAAATATGAATGAAATCCACATGTCTGACCACGCCCTCTGAAAGTGCAGACTGACATTTTGGACTTACTACAGCTTTAATTTCTGGCAGTACAAAGACATTCAAAAGTGCTGTTTTTTTATTGCGTTTTGAAAAGTGCAGTTCAGCCTACTTTTTTGTATGTTGCACATTTTTTCCCATACAATTTCCAGCGGAGTTGTTAGCAGTTATAAATAATAATTAAAAAAATACGAATAAAGGAGGCTGTACAGCAGTGATGTTTGAAGCTGGTTCTTTTATAGCCAAGAAACCTGATATGTCATCTCGGCTTGGTTGACTTGGCTGTGTAACCTTTTCAAAGGAGACGTACCAGTGCTTTCTTGCCAAGTCATGTCCTTGTTTTTTGACGTATGGTGTAGATGGAATGTTTATTGGAAAAAACTGGATTAAATTTTCCAAATTTCAATTGGTAGTGCTTGTGGAAATGTCGAAGTGTAGAAATGTGGTGGCAGGAATGTTGAGTTTAAAACGACACTAAACTTGTGATTATTTAATTAATACGAGGTATCCTTAATGAGAATTGAGAGTATAAAATAGTATATTTATTTGTATCATAACGTTGCAAGATGTAATTTCACGCTCTCCATATGTTTTATAAATATATATAAATGGAGGAACTATTTGTTGATGACTAAGATTTGCCAATGAGTCCTGTACAAATCAATGAAAACAGACGACATAAAATAGTACAACTTAATAAAGAAGACTGCAAAGTTCGGCTGAAAGTAAATGAGCAAAATTAAAGGTCTTGCGCAAGTTCCATAAACAATTGAAGGGACGAAACTGGAATATAGCAGAGTGTTTGAACTGGATCAACATGATGAATTGAAGAGGCAGACGAGGCAAGGTTGGAATGCTTTTTGGAAAACTCAACTAAGCTTATGAAAAGCAGCATACAGTTGTGCCTTACAAAGAAAGTTTTAAGTCAATGTATATTATCTGCTCTGAAGAAGCGTAGAGAATTTAATGATTACACTGACAGACAAAAATGCTTGTATTGGAAAACAAGCATTTGAGACATTGACCAGTAAGAAACATATGAGAGCTTGGAAAAAACAAGTCACTTCCAGGAAATGATGGTTGGTGTCTAAAATTAATGATGTAATGCTGAGAGCACAGATGATGGTGCGTTGAAATATGCTTATGTGTAGGTGTGGAATAGATTTTCACATCGGGAGAATGTGAGATGTCAGTGGATTGAGGAGGCATTCAGCTGTGGGTAGTTTTTTTTCAGTAGGAGCCCGGTTTGGAGCACAAACTTCGACGAGGGTGGGGGTACGAAAACTCCGTGGACATAAGTCTCGGACGCTGTGCACCTGGGTTTAGAGAAGGGGGAGATTGGGCACGCTGCCCCATCGAGTGGGGACTGAGCGAGGTGTCTGTATTTTACATGGGAAGGTGAGGGAAATAATCTTTGTTTCTAATGAGTATTAATTTCTTCATACGTGCGCTCAGTATTGTCTCCAAAGGAGTAGCACATCGATTTCATTCACAGTATATTTTGGATTGGAACGTTGAATACACTTGCTAATGCAATCGGTTTGACTGAGAGGTGCATATTGCACTTGTGATTCAGAGAGATGGCTTCACACACATTCTGTACTTTAGAACAAGCTTATTCCCATTCCCTAAAAGATGGTGTGAAATTGAATTTCCACTATAGCTTTGTAAGTGTTTGCTGCAATTGATATTTGTAAGAATGCAGAAACAACCCCATTTATTTGCAAATTGTCCATCGGTGTCGTATGCAGGCAATCTTTGACAATAAAAACAACATTTTGTACAGCCACGAACAGTAGAAATACTCTTATCTGGTTTGACGTGTCGTTTTAGGCACATATTTTGTGTTGTTGTCTAACTTACTCTTTTTACCCAGCAGCACACAACAGATAGGATGAATTTGCTGCCACTTCTGGGTTACTCTAATCATGCAAAAGCTCAGATAATTATTGGAAGAATTATGTTTTTTCCTGGATTACACCTCTGGATCATTCTAAGTGGGGTTATTTCCAAAAAGTTGATGATTTATTGCCAACATCTGGGTCGGTCTCTCTTCTTATCTGGATGAAAGCTTGGATCAATTGTTGCCATGCCAATGACTTCCTGGAAACGTGTATACATGGATTAGCTGCATCATCACGACCTTTACTGTTATGGCCATCACTACCATCAATAGCATCATCATCATCATGACAAATAAAATCGCTGTGAGAGCAGAACACAGCCGGAGTTGTCCCAACGCAGTGCTCGTCATCGGGACATAGTGAATTGGCCACAATCCATAATAATCATCATCATCTGTACAGTGTAATATATTTCTTTATTTTTTATAATTTCTTTGGTATTCATGGCGGTGATCTGCACGGGACTCGAGTGCTCGTTTGTTCAGAAGAGTCAACTCAGTTGGCCCAAACGTTTGTAAATCAATTCGTACAACTGTTTTGGTTTTAATTATTTTGTCTATGTGGACTGCGTGTCGTATAAACTATATATGATGATACTTGTGTTTTACGTGTACATTAATATTGCAAGGGTATGCTTTGTGTCCCAACTGATATTGTACAGTTGCATACTGTACTGTTTTATTTGTTTAATAGACAAAACAATAATATTGTCATCGTTACAACAGCCATTCTGTTTGTTGTGTGACAGGGGGTCTAACATTCTAGTCTTAAATGCATCTAATGTATAATTTTTAAGCTCTGTTAATGTAATTTAGACGGACTCAACTGTAGAAAAATTAAGTTGTCGGATCAGCAGTCCCTTTGTTCCCAAGCCATAGAGCTATGCTAATGTAATTTGTCGACATGTAGGTTTGAGAATTGCAGTGATTTTCAAAATGCCCTTTCAGCAACTACCTTTTCAATTGCTGTGTTGATGAAGCGCAAAGACAGGCGAAGATAAGTTGGATGGACTAATCTCGAATGTTCTGTGCATGCTTCAGTTGGGACCCAAAGATCCTGTTATTTATTTAGTGTTCCATTCAATCACATTCTTTATGAAGAGAGCTGTTGGAATATATTATCTTTAGTCGCAATTAAAATTTTGTGAGAATACCGATGAGCAGATAACATTGGATTAGTTTCTTTACTTTCTTCAATGCACAGACCAATTTGCTCATTGGCCTTCAGTTCAAAGTTTTCACAATGTTTGAAGCATTTTAATGTCAAAGGACCACAAGATGTGTCCCAAGCACAACTATCCCACTGACTTCACAGGAATGTAATTCAACTTTACCCAAAGTTAATTGTAGGCAAATTAACAAAGCTTGTATTGTATAGACTCAAACACAACATTCGATATCTATCACTACTTTATATAACACTTGCAAGGTTTAGATAAAGGAAGACAGTACCGCACAGTGATCTTCAATGCCACGGCAAATACATTCACGTTCTCAACCTTAGTTGGAAAGCGTTAAACAGCGCATTTTTTATAAAGGATATCTGTTCTTCTTCTTGGTTCTTTCGGTAAAGTCACGTAGAAGGGAAGTAATAAAATAATAAAAATAAAACATAATAAAATAAAATAATTCTCACGACGTTTCGGCTACAACGCAAGCAGCCGTCTTGCGTTGTAGCCGAAACGTCGTGAGAATTATTTTATTTTATTATGTTTTATTTTTATTATTTTATTACTTCCCTTCTACGTGACTTTACCGAAAGAACCAAGAAGATGAATCCCTGCAGTCACGAAAGCTTTAAATCGATATCTGTTCTCTTTAATTGTATCAATTGTTTCTTTTTTGCAGTTGGTTGGTGCGGCATTTCTTGCAATAGGACTATGGGCATGGGCGGAAAAGGTACGATTCTATTATTATTTTAACTGAAATATGTACGCGAGAATGTCGATGCTTTTTTTGTTCTCTTCATTTAGGTGACCACCCTTTACACCCCTGTGCATAATAGGGCAGTCCTAATTAAACAATACCCATTTATTAATGCAGTCCTGAAACATAATATTACGTGGAACAGAGGCAAGAATTCCACATACTGTTTAACCTACTTTTAGCCACTAACATTATGATGGTGTTTGCCAGTATTTTAATTAAAGTTATTATATTTTAGTGATGTAATTTTGTAGCAATGCTCGTTTTTAAATCCTTTATATTAAGTTCGCTTGCTTGCATGCTTGCTTGCTTGCTTACGACCGTGCAAATCTTTCGGTCGTTTTTTAACCCACTTCCCGTGATCCAATCGAGCTGACATTTTGCACACAGACTCGTTGTGCGAGACAATTAATGTTCGTGAAATTTTTTATCCAAAATTTTACACTGTTTAGGGAAAACAAATTAAATATTTAATTACCAATTGCTTAATACTGGCAGACAATCATCTGACTCATAGGTGGCAGCCATCTCAAGCCAGAGGACGAGAGGACTCTAGCCGCCATGCATATAAAGGATTTAGAGTGAAAAACTTTGTTTTTACGGGTTATACTTATTTATGTTTAACAATGTAGTAATAATCTTTTCTCCTAAATGTTGATACGAAACCATGGCTTTAGAATTAGCATTTGTAATCGCACAGCCATGTGCTATAATATATCACAAGCCATTTTCAATACTTGCATGACATGAGGCCTCAGTACTTATAATGCCACCTGTTGTGTATTGTAAAAATATGGAGTCAAACATGTGTGCAGACACTACAGGGCTGTCCCCGATGAATCTTGTTTTTATTAACAGTGGCCTTGATTGAAAAGTATGCACTCTAAATCCTGATTTTGTGTTATTTGTCTGATACAGGGAGTCCTATCAAACCTTTCTTCGATTACGGACCTAAAAGGATTTGACCCAGTGTGGTTGTTCATCGTGGTTGGCACCGTAATGTTCATCTTGGGCTTTGCTGGCTGCATTGGTGCCCTAAGGGAGAATACCTACCTCCTCAAATTCGTAAGTTGCCATCAGTAAAACTATATTATTCGAATATGATAACATCTCTTGAAACCCCTTTAAGTAAACCTGAATTCAAGGTAAGCCAGAATGGCTGCTGCAAATACATGTTGAAAAATAAACTTAAAAACTCCAACCCAACATTGTTCACGCACTAATTTAGCCTGTGTGCAGTAAAGCTCTGTGCCAATTGTGTGTAGGAATGTTAGATGTGCTTGTCATAGCTAGGAAATGCTAGATGGTATCCCCAAACATTGTAATAAATATAATGTACGTGTGGATTACCAGTGTGGCTTTAGAACTGCTTCTGTACAGATTCATGCATTCTTTTAGCATGTGCAGTTTTATTGGGTACATGAGCAATGTTGAAGTTGGAGTTTTTGTTTTATTAATAGATTTTATTTATTTTGAGTAGTATCCCAGTCTGTCTCAGCTGAACTTAAGTCTGGCTTTAATGTACCTGAAACAAGTTTTTTTTTCAAATCAAACGTTGCCTAAATTGTTGTTGTTAATCAAATGTACTGTGCTATAATTTACATAATTTTTTTTGTGAATTTAGCTTAATTCTTTTTACGTTTAAACCTTATATATTTTTGTGCCTATTTGTAATGAGATTTTCATAAATGTGTCACAAAACTTCGCATACAATTCCATCTAAAGTTATTACGTGCTGTATAGCGGTTTGATGGAGTGCATTCTCGCTCTTTATATCTCTCGTCGTTTATTTGTACCACCCAGTTTTCCACATTTTTGGGGCTGATCTTTTTCCTGGAGCTCACCGCCGGAGTGCTCGCCTTCGTCTTTAAAGACTGGCTTCGTGACCAACTGAACTTTTTCATCTACAACAACGTGAAGGCCTACCGTGATGACATTGACCTGCAAAACCTCATTGACTTTGCACAAGATTACGTAAGATAACTTCCTTATTTTGCTCTCCTGCTATATTGTTTACTTGTAAATATATTGATGTTTGTTAATATAATGTTACCTTTATGTTTAACGAGTCCTCTTTAGATGGATTAGAGTTACCAATATTTAGTTGTAACTTCTGAGGTACCTGTGTGATTATGATGTTTGTCATTAGTATAATTTTCACGTTTAGGATTTTGAGAACACTGGACAATTGTGATGTGTGTAACATTTAAATATAATGGTGTACATTTTGGTGAACCTCTGCAAGTTATTATCAGGATGCAGTAATCAAATAGTATACACAAATTGGATAAGTGAGGAGCTTACTATTCGTTCAGCAACTGAATTCATGTATTTTACTGCAAAATACATATTTTATATAAAATTGAATTTACATGCCAAAGGTTGATAAATTATAAGCATCACATAGCTACCTAAGTTAGCCAGTTTACATATATATTTTTTAAAGTAGTAGCAGGAATGTCTGTTAGTTAGAAACACATATTTTGACTATTTTTTCCATTCATCGGTGTGCTTCACAGTGGCAGTGCTGCGGTGCCCATGGTCCTCTCGACTGGGATGAGAACATCTACTTCAACTGTAGTATCAAAAACCGCAGCCGGGAAAAGTGCGGTGTTCCCTTTTCCTGTTGCGTCAAAGACCCTGCGGTGAGAACAGAGATAATCACATTGCCTCTACTGGCTAGTCTTCCCTTTTTGACTGGTTTTAAAAAGTGTCGTGTTTTAGCGCTTTGAAGAATGTGTGCATGAGCTGAACCCCCATAGTGGTTTCCTGTCAGACCCACATGCTCTCCACCGACGAATGTGTCCCAGTTTGCCCCACATTGTAACTGTGTAAGTTATTTTTTGTAAGGTGTAGCCGCATTAAGATAATTCTAAGATGTACACATACGCATGACAATGGTTGGTCTTGTGCAAAATGAGGATGAATGTGTTGTTGTCTTTATTTTTCGCTAATCATTTGTGTAACACGAAACTAAATGTTCTGCTTCCCTCATATTTCAAAACTGAGATATTAATGTGAGCGAATACATGACTTCACATTTTTTTTAAGCCTCTTGCTCAACTTTTTTTCCCATGAATGTATTTCATGCCAAGTGGGTAAAGATTTTGAGAATTATTTTGGCTCTCATCATTTCATGTTTACACCAACTTTTAATGCCTCAATTTGTGAGTTCTGCAACTTCAAAGTGAAGTTACCCAAATAGGATTGGAAAAAGTGCACACATTGATTCTATGGTTAACATTTATATCGAATTGGTGAGTGATAGTATATACTTTCAAATAGGAGCTGAAAACCTTTGTTCACAAGGCCCAATTATTTTTCTTGTGGGCATTCTTCAAATTTATACTTCATGTAATGATATCTCAGTGACTGTCTAGGACAGTGTCAAAGTTTATCATCCTGAAAGCAATATGGTCTGGTCATGCTGAGCAGTATTGCTTTTCAGTAGTGGGGTTTCAGCTGCTCAACCAATGCCAACTGGCTCTATTACAAGACTAAGTTATGAGCATTGTTATTCGGGAGGGAGGGGGGCGGGGCTCCCCTCCCTCCCGATACGTTCCATTCATTGGCTACCACATTCTGATGAGCTCCCCCCCCCTCTCCTCCCCCCTCAACTCGCTTTTAAGGGATTACATCTTGAATCATTGCCTCACTTGATGCAGCTAATCTGGCTGTGACGGTCCCACCTGATGACGGAGACTTGTGTTGCCTCCGAAACGTCGTGATCTTTATTTTATTTTATTTTGATGTTTTACCTACGTGACTTTACCGAAAAAACCTAAAAATATGAATCCTTGCAGTCACGAAAGCTTGCAAATCTAGAATTATGAGCATTGTTGATTTTACTAGGTCCAGGCAACCAAAATAAAGGGTTAATAACAGCTTAGATGTTAATTTTCGAAATGCAGCAGTGTCATACCAGTCTTAAAAAGGGACGAATACCCACAGGCCAAATTAATTTTCAATGTAAAATAGTATACATAATTAACTGTTTTGTATACACCACAATCTGTTGAAAATGTAAAAAAACTAATTGTTTATGTTACTTGCAGGAAGATGTTGTGAACACTCAGTGTGGATATGACGTAAGGTTAAAAGCGGTAAGCAAAACGTTTCCTTGAACATACACCAGTTTGTAATGCAAAATTTATGTACACCTGACCCTCGATCTGCGTTCTGAAAAAATGCCGTGCAGTGGGAACACAGTGGACCCGGTAATAGCTGGATTATGTTCCAGACTCCCTTCCCGAAACCCAGTATTCACGAATGTACATACAAAACTTGCACAAAAAATTAACGACTGTAACTATCAGATGAAACTATGCCTGGGCACTGTGCTCACTAATACAGGCTGGTAGTTACGAATACTGAGACAATGCCATATGCTCCTCAGTAGGGCTATTCCTCCCTTCTCTCTCTATCCAGAAAACTTTTAGTTTATCTTTGACATGCGTTTATCTCCCTTAAATATTATTCTTTTTAAAGACAAAAATTATACCAGTGGCTATGGTGGACTCTAAACTACAAATCTTGTTTTGGCAGCATTTTCTGTAAACCAAAATATTTTGAGATAAAGGAAGAGGAAGTGAGGGCAGCCCTCAGCGGTCCATTGGGTGTGAACATGCAGAATTGTTTTCCAAACTCAACGGCTCTCCATGCACAGCCAATCGGCGCTATGCAGCTGCCTGCAATCGACTCAGAGTCGCGTGCGGAGTCTGGCACAGCCCGGTGCAGCGCGCCGCCTATGCAACACCCGTTCCTGAACCCGCGCGCAGCTGCGAAACCGCACCCGTGTGCTTTCTGAATTTTTAGTTGTCGTAAAAATGCCGTGCAGCTGTAAATCCGTGCAGAAATAACCCATGTGAGGGCAACGGTCAGGTGTACTCAAGTATTAAGATGCTGTTCAAATCCTCATCGAAAATTGAGTGTTATGAAGATATAGGCAGTGAAGGATCGATGATGTTTCACATATTTTACAGTTGTCACTCTTTCTAATGAACTTTTAAATGGGTAAAAGTGTATCGTACTGTTGTGCACATTGTTTTTGTGGTCAGAGTTCACGTGGGTTTCTAATCTTGCAATATGTGGGTGTGGTTGCATTCAAAACAGGAACTGGAACAGCAAAGTTACATTTATACAAAAGGGTGTGTGACCCAGTTTGAGAAGTGGCTGCAAAACAATCTGATATTGGTGGCAGGGATATTCATCGGCATTGCACTTGTACAGGTACGTAAACACATCTGTGCACAATTTTTATGCTTCGTGATATGGCGGACTTAGAATCGCATATTTACACGAATCCCTCAAATTGACCCCCCATCCTGGCCTGCATGCAAATTCCCTTTTGGCATGATGATTTTTCTGTGACGTTGGCAAATGCAGTGAGCACTTCTTGTTGTACTTCAACACTCGTAGACCATTATGGGCTGCCAGGAGGATGAATGTTGAAGACATTTCCCGAGTCAAAAGCATCTACGTCTTAAGGCTTGATTACCATCAACTAACAGTTGCTATCAATCATTTCATTTGAAAAATGGTGTCAGCTTTTTCTCGATTGTGTACATTGTAACCCACGTGGTACACTTAGCCATGTGCAGCTAATTCTATTGAGACCTAATAATACAGTACCTACGAAGTGTTATGTTTTCATAACGTTTTTCATTATACGAAAGTAATGAAGTAGTAATGGTTAACATGCAGTGTTCTCTTTTGGACATTTTACAATATGGGTGACTGCATTTAGATGGGACACCATGGCAGGTAATTCTTTACGCTGATAATTGTCTTTTTACAAAGGCACTTGCGTTTTTTTTTACCCACCATACAACATTTTTTTCATTTTTATCCAGGTCTCAATTTCTGGCTCATTTAGCTGTCTCTTGATGACTGGGGTCCCATGGCGAATCATGTGCTCACTCACTGCATGTAAATTGACAATGTTGGGAGTGTTAATTATCACAAGGAACGTGTTTTACAGGTGGATGTATAATGGTTGCCGGTCAATGTGACCTCTGCATCATTGGTGTTGTGAATTTTAGACGTTAGAAAAACTGATTTGCTTGCATGATTACATTAAGGGAAGTTTGTAAAGTGAACTCCAACAATGATAATAATTCATACAAAAATATGCCACTGTTTGGATTGAAAAGGTCATTTGTATAAAAAAGTACAATTGTAAAACAAATTAAAAAATTCAGCAGTGGGGCTATTGCCTCTATCAGAGCACTGAGCAAGTTCAGCTGCCTGTGATTAAAGCATTTTCTCAAGTGTAGCAAGTTAAGTTTCAGTCATTTCCTTGAACTACAGAAAAATTTAGCATGAAATGTTAATTTCATTGAGAGCAAACCAGCTCCAAGGATGGTTCTATACAGCATGAATAGGTGGCATTTAACACGTTCCTTCGGAGTGGGCAGGTAGGACATTGGTTGGACAGCGCATTTGTGCGATCCATGTCATGCGGCGCAAGCTGCGTGGGGCGGTGCGTCACGTGGTGCTGAGCCCGCCCGAAGCGCTCTATGAAATACAAATCGAGGGCGTGGCTATGCACGACAGACAGACAAATAATCCCTGGTGGGCAGTGTGGAACTGTTGTTCCTACCTGTATTATTGGGCACGAGAGGCCTTCTAAAGTTTTTATGGATGGTAGTATCATCTTCTCGGGACCATTCTCAGATGTTAATGTATGGGTTGCCTGGCTGCAAGCATTCCAGATGGACAATTGTTCATCTCTACATGCAATTATCATCATATAATTGGATTGTCTTTGATGTTAAAAATGAAAACATACACTAACATTCTGTCTGTGTGTGTGTGTCTTTTGCAGATATTTGGGATATGTTTGGCACAGAATTTAGTAGGGGATGTTGAAGCAGTGAAAGCCAATTGGTGAGTCGACAAACAGCTGTGGGCCTTCAGTACCTGCTCGTATAGCCCTGCATCTTGGCCAGCATGGGTTGGTGTGTCTGCAGTTAGTATATTCCGAAGCCTGCAATACACAACAAATCAGATTTACATTTTTATTAGATTACTCTCAGATCACCTTTTTTGTTTTTCTTTTTCTAACTTGTTAAATAAACCCTATTTTTCAGACTTTGTAAATGTATGTTTGTTCAACATCATTGAGTCCCAATTGACTTGTTTGACTTTATACTACACACACACTTTTAAAATTACCCATTATTGTTATTAGTTGTATGAGCATTTTGTTTTGGGCAATGCAGTTTGAATGGACTTGCCGCAGTTCTGAATAAAGGCTCTATAGGTGGACATTGATTTGAGGATGTAATGGGTGGTTGTTAATTGCTAAAGAATATTTACATTCCTGAACAGTTAGTCAACCTATTTAATTTCTTTTAACAATTTACCATTATACAAGTATCTTCCTGATTTTGTAAAAAAAAAAAAATCTTTATTGTACTTTCCCTAAGACAAATTCAGAACTGTTTTGTTGCCATATTGCATCACATGCACAATATACAATTGATGATTCTCCATCAAGCCACAATGGGTGTATACATTTACTTATTTTAGACCACTTTTTCCCAATCGGTGAAGATGGCATCTTTTTTCTTTGCCACTGAATGCTTTTTTTTATTGTTTTTATCTTTTTCTTGAATGTAGTGGCATACCTCAGTAAACTACATAAGCAGTTGTTAATGAGCTTTATTTGATTGGCTTATGTAACAGCTACATTTAGCTTTCATGTAGTAGTTTGTTCACTAGCTATAGCACTCTTTTGTCTTTTGTTAGATATGTTGAACAATATTTGCCATTCATCCACTAACTCACTCTTGTCAAGCATTTTAACAGCAGTGGAATGTGTTCTTTAAATGCAAGCTGCAGTGCAGCAGATTTCACTATTGAATGCATCACCACCTTCTAGTATTAAACCGTCAGTAGATTTATTACTCTTCGGCCCAGTTTGCTATAATTTTAAACTACCACTAAGTAGCAGTGCTTTTAATTTATCCGTTGTAAGTACGTGTTACATAGTATATTGCTGAACAGGAGTCCTGTGTAGTATTGCTTAAAACATCTACAGCAAGCCCTTAAAGATTTACAAAACAAGTCAGTGCACCCAGAGATATTCAATCTCTAGCATGCTTTTATTATAGGATGCATGCAAACAAAGTGTATTAAATTTTAGTGTTGCAAGTTTTTTTTATTTATCACATTGTAATCTTCTTTTCTTTAGTTTGCACTGAAGTTGCTAATGTCTAGATATGAAAAATGAAATAAAAAAACATTTAAAAAGTTGTAACTACTGTAATGATTGCCGGAATAAGTGAAGCCGCCACAAAGCAGGAGAGAAAAACACATGGCGAAAGAAAGTTCCGCTAAGTATCCACGCACTTGTTGTTGTTCTTCCAAAAATGTGCTTAGCTTTAGACCCAAAACTTATAATTTGTATTAAATTTTTAGAATATTTTTCATCTACAAGATCTTTGGCACTCATGTACAGTTGGGTTTGTCTGGTGTATCAACTGTTGAAAGCCAGTGAAGAGGTTAATAACTATTAAGTGTACAGGCGGTGAAGTTGTGTGAAGTTTATGCCATTACTTTTAGATGCAGGTCTGTCCAGTGTGACTGTTGTTCTGATTTCTGCGCGGTAATGATTTAAAGATGCATAGCTGTTTTACTGTACTGTAAATATGAATCGCTTTTCCTGTATGTGATCAGATTGGAAAGCATTTTGTTAGGCTTTTTGAAATACAAAATAAAGGAAAAAAACACCCCTTCTTGTAAACTTTTTTAAAACCTTGTGAAAAAAATGGCCCACCTACAGTACAAGACATGTCTGATGTAACATTTTCAGTGTTTGTATGACTCCAACAGTGTGTGGAAATAAAATGCACTGCGCTCTTAATGTATTGTGTGCGCCTCTTATGTACGTTTAATAGTTTCAGGATTTACAATTCATTGTTAAATATTCATCTCTCGCTCAGTGCCGATCTGTGTGAATTAATTGTAGATCGATTCCAGGCCATTCAAATTGATCACAGGAATCTTTAAGTTTTGTAAATTTTGCTTTTGAAAAAAAAATCCGGGTGAAGAGGTGTTGGTAGGTGTGCCGATCTTCTGAATTGTTTGTTTATATATTGTAATTTTGTGAAGTAGATTTTTTTCATCTAAAAGCACTTAAGTATGTTGGATTGAGTAGCACTCTTAATTAAATTAACTTAATACCTTTTATCCTTTTTACACCTTCATGACACTACCTGACATGTTACAAGTTAAAATCCAGGATCGTGAGCGATAGTTTAATTTGAAACGTTTCACGCTTTTGATTCTCATGGTCGTGCATATATTCACCTAAAGCTCTTGTCTAAACGCAAGACATTCTCTTTACATATGCCTCAAAACGCCTTCCATTAATTGGCTTGAGGGAAATGTAGCCATCAAGTGGATGCCACTGTAAGTGAAAATAAATGCACCGTGCTCCGTGTGGATTGCCACAGCAGTATGCTTGATTGTATAATTAAGCCAAGGTACATAGGGAATTAGCTGGCCTTTAGCACATTGCATTTGGCAATGGTCATCTGCAATGTCTTTAAGTCAAATGACTCGTGCAATATTGATGCAAACTCCAAAAGGGCTGTTTTCATACATTTTTGGCAGTGACTTAACACGGGAATCAACTCCTAAATGAATAGGTCTCTCGTGTCCACTTTGCAACACACTTTGATAAAGCCCTGCATTACTGCTTGAAAGATTGTTGGATGGTGGTGGGATTCAACCGATTACACCCATGTAAACTGCCTCTGTAAAGCGTAATAGCGAGAAGTGTAACGCGAGGTTTTTTGGGATACATTTTTTTGCGTTGCATTTTTTTGTAACGAGTTCTTGTGGGGTGAAAATGGACATCGATCACAATCCCTGACGCGCGGTGACCGAGTGTCTAGGTAAGCATATATTCTTGTGATCTTTTGTTTCCCCCTCGGCTCTCGCTTTCAGAATGCTTTTCGAATACCCTTTAAAGAAGAAAAATAAAACCACCTCGCCCAGAAACACCCTGTATCTCAACGAAGACCCCTCGGCCTGCACTCCGAACGCTGCCAAGTCTACAAATCAAGTCTTCCCCACCACACCTCTTGACAAACACGTGCAATGTCACCAATGTATAATGGCGAATAAAATTCATAATCACCCCTTTTTTATGTTTTACCCCCACAAATGATGCACCCATCCTGCCCAAAGAATCGATTCGACCACTAACGTCTGGAACAATTAGGATGCAAAATGACCTGTTTTAACGTGTAAAATACAATCGTGATCCAGGAATACAGGCTGGGAAGAACACCCAATTCAAAAGACAGATTGGGAAATTATGAAGAAACAACATGCCCACCCTATAACCAACAAAAAGGAATAAGTGCCATTGAAAACCCCCTCTGTTCAACGTAAAACTCGCAATCAACACCAACTCGACCAGGAAGATAAACCACAGAATCTCACAGTATCAAAAGCAACCCAGAAGATAAACCGCACTCGTGCAATCAAACGGCGTCCGAGTACACAACAGCACGATGTGTACCTCCACTCCAAGATACAAACCTCGACAAGTCGCCCTGGGATTGATTCAAGGAAGATGGCCCACGCTCATGGGCTGACTGACAAACCACACCACGTGCTCCTTGGCTCCCTGGTACCCTGACCGACCGACCAACCGACCGCAAACCTAACCTGCCCGCCTTTACGAGCGACTCTTGCACACGACAGTAATTTGTATCTTTATGTGGTTGTCCCACCTGATGACGGAAGCTTGTGTTGCTTCCGTAACGTCGTGATTTAATTTATTTTTGATTTATTTTATTTTATACCTACGTGACTTTACCGGAAGAACTAAAGAGTATAGAACATTGCAGTCACGAAAACTTAAGATCTAAACTGCCCTCCTTTCTTTTTCAAGAAATAGACCCCCCCCCCCCCAACACCGGGTGCGATTGTCCTGAAGGATCTCCACCCATCCACGCATCGCAGTGACCCTGTTCGAATCTAAAATACCCAAGAGAATACCTCTGGGAAGTTAACCTGGACGGGGTGGTCAAGGGCTGTGCCTACCACAATCTCTACTGTCACTCGGGGAGAAAGAGGTGGTAGCCCTCTCCCCCGGACCTGGGGATCACTGATATCAGGAGGGGGACGGGGCATTAACAGAGGAGAGATATCAACGCCATACACGGCGCAAACGCCCGCATCTCCAGACTTTACAATGAAAACAAAATAATTCTCAAGTGCTTGACAACACGGACTACAACACGAAACACAAAAACCACATCCACCCGAGACAATTCCACAACATCGCCCACACTGATTACCCCACCCCACCACCAAAGCACTAAACCCAATCCCACTGCCTGTCTTTCATACAATAAGACACGGATCGCTGCACATTTTACGCATTTCCACCAACATATACGCTGCGAGACACTTAGTAAAATCTCTCTTTGCTCCACCACACAAAACGCAATCTCTGGCAGACAACTCATGTGAGTTGTAAGATAATGTATAGGAAAATATTTGTTCATCTGTCCATGCCTGCTCAACGTTTAAACAATAACCAACTGTTATTCGTAATAATTACTAAAGAAATATCACATCTTTGCTGGCCATTTTGCTCTGGGAAAAACAACAGCATTCAGTCTTTGTTTTCGGCTTTTGCAATTCACCTCAAAACGAACGCGTAACATTTGGAATTATACCCAGACTATATGAAAACTTCAAGTAATAATTTGTATTGTTATTGAAATAACCATATGCAATGTGATGTGGTGGGTCCCTGTTTTGCCCTGACATTTGTGCCACTATAATTCCATATTCATCTTGGGAACATGCATTTTTGCTGGTCTAAGACCTTCAAAATCAGTTGTATGTATGTTTAACTTTCGTATCGCACGTGGCCAACCGTGCTCATCGTAGGTGCGGTGACCTGCAGTCAATATTTTAAAAACATTTGAAAAATATTCACGATTAACAATGTTTTTTAAAAGGTGCAATGCAAACTGCGGTTCATATACCGATCTTCTTTTCTAATAAAATTCATTTTACAAAGCAAGATAGTCAACGCTCATTATTTTCCAATATATCATTCATACTTCAACATTAGTGCAGTTGGAATTGTAAAATGTTTGGTGACGTCCATTGTTAAAAGCCATAGAATACCAAACATTTGTTTGAAATTAGGATATTGTAAATGTTGACCTTTCTCTTCCTGCAGAAGCAAGTGGAAGATGGTTTTGTCACCCCCTGGGATATGTAGTCTTCCTGCCACTTCCTCAGGGGCTTGCCTCTTGTGAACCAATTCATCCAAAACAAGAGTGGGCAGGATGTCAGCGTGAGCATGTTACTTCGATTACAGCTCGGCTGCTTTTAAAGGAAACCTTGTGCTCCTTTCCTAAAACAGGAAACTGATTTTTTTTGTTTATTTACATTTGACAGTAAACAATAGCACATTGAAAGCGCAGCGTTTGAGTATATTTTTTATGCAGTATATATAAAAAATATACATTTCTGCACGTATGCTCTTGAATGTGGAAAATACAGTTACGGTATAACTGATTTCTCAATCTTGATTTGAAGCTTTCGTGACTGCAGACATCCATACTCTTTGGTTCTTTCGGTAAAGTCACGTAAGGTAGAAAATCAATAGATCACGACGTTTCGATCGCAACACAAGCAACCGTCATCAGGTGGGACAACCGCAGCAGTTTTTTTCTTGCTGTGGTTGTCCCACCTGATGATGATTGCTTGTGTTGCGATCGAAACGTCGTGATCTATTATTTTTCTACCTTACGTGACTTTACCGAAATAACTGATATCTCGTTTGTGCTTATGTATAGTACGGTACTTCAGAAAAAAGATATGAGAATACTATACAGTACCACGATGCAGGTTATTGGAGTTGTTACTGTCGAGTTCTCTGATGCATTTTAGACTCTCCTGTGTGCTGTTTGGCATCGTGTGATGTATTGCTCCACATTTTGTGACTTTCTGTAAGAAATTCATAGAAGAAGCTCCCACGGCTCGTGGAGCAAAAAACGTCGGACATCGTGCTGTAACAACACACGGTACAACCGGAAGAAAAAAAAACCCGACAGAAGTAATAAAATAAGTTCCAGAGGACCCAATGGTTTTTAAAGTAGAATTTCTCTGGTCTAATTGGTCAGCACCTTGCCTGTCAGTGTTAATAACAGGTGCAGTCCATGTAGAAGAAATGTTAACCACGTGGCATCAGTCAATGATGCATTCACTGCACGGATCATTACTCATTAGTGCGAGCTCACACCATGCTGAGAGTGCACTCTGTGGGAACACTGGCACCATTCCCCACCACACTGAAAAGGGAATGGGTAATTGTGTGCTTGGAACCCCAATATCCCCAGCGCTGTACTTACACCAGGTGCGATCATGGGTGTACATTGGCTTTCGGCGGTACGATCAAGGCGAAGAGAATTTTCGATGACACGTCATTTACTTTGATCACAGAAGAGGCGAAAACGGACAATTGCCATCCAACCTATTCATTAAAGAGCGAAAGGTGTAGGCCTGCAATGAATAACTTGACTGCTCGCAGAAAAGCCTCGACAACATGAAGCACAAGAGGATCCATCCAGTAAGTATTTGGCCTACCCTTCCACGCTGGCTAAAGGTCTTGGAGGAAGTGGGAGCATCCACGCATTACCCCACCAGACGTGACCTGTCAATCGACTAGCTTGGTATACCCATTTATACTGCTGTGTGTATCGTGGCAGGGGGGATTTAAGAAACGTGCTCTTTTCTCAACTGCCGTGCAGGAGATCGAATTGATAGCCTCTGGAAGGCAAGTTCAGTCTGCTAACCATTACACCACGGCTGTACATCCTTGTT